GTCGCGGAGAACCTAACGGGTAACCGGGGCTCCGGCTCGACGTGCAGGAGAAGGAACGGGGTGGTTTTTAGTCAGTAAGAGTCTGACACTCCCTCCCGCCTCACCCAGGCCGGAGCAGTCATTCGATGATTTTCCCCCCTTAAAAAAAAGGGTATATAATTACGTACTACTACGGGCTGGGGCTGAAAATCAGCACCGTGGACGCGAGCCTCCGTGACCGTGCCGGTATTAAGCTGAGCTCCATCAGCCTTTTGCGCTGCGACGCACCATGGACTTATTGCGTGTACCTGTGTTCTTGTTGTGTGTCATGGCGTAATAAATGATTTTTCTCTCACTTTCCTTCTACTGCACGATCAAATAAATAATTGTGTCTGTAATGTGTAGGTCAGATTCATGTTTGTAAATATTGTTAGGACATTGGAAAATATAGTTTCATTATTTTTTGGCTGCATCGAATATACGTGTATAGAAAGGCAATTTTTTTTATAATAACTATCGTGAGACATACTAATTGAACTAAAAATCGTGGGTAACGTGAAATATACTGACCGCGCACGCCGCTCATGAGGAAGAACCCCTCTGTGGTCCGAAACTAGTAGAGCTTTTCTCAGTATATTCACGAAAGGCAAAGAGTTTATAGAGACATCCGGCGTCAAGGATTTTAGACCAGCTCCTTGAGCACTGGTTTCCTGCCTAGATAACTACCACCAGTGTTGTATCACTACATCTAGATTTGTTTGTGTAACGAAATAACTGTTTGCAGGTCGGTGACTTCAAACTGGCCTATATACAGCAAAAAATTAATCTTGACGAACAAGCGTTCGAGAGTTGCACTTGAGACCAATCATATGTAAACAGAACTTGCTAATGTGTTTTGTACCTAATTACTATTACAATTAGAGGCGAATTTTCGCAGTACCTATTTAACCGCTGTGACTCGGAGTTGGTTCAGTAGTATCGGTTATCAACTATCATACAGAAATACATTAATTATCACAGTAATGATGAGCAACCAGAGGCCTAACAAGCTGACACCTTAAGGACGTTAGAAGTACATGGTAACTGTTAGGAATGTCATACCACAAAACTAGAAGTGTCCTGAAACTTTCAGCCTGAGAATCTGTCGACAGTAAAAGAAGTTTCAATAATGAAGGATTCTACAGACACTCCCAAAACTGCTGCAACTCCTGTAACCCAGGATCTACAGTAGATACAACCATGAAAACACCGGAACACTGAAGTCCGGCGCGTCCCAGGGACATGAGTAACTGTCTTGGTTCCCGCAACGAAGTGAAGGAGGTTGTGGCGGGCTTGTCCCAACAAAAAAAAAAACGAAAGCCAGTCGAAGACTCAAATAATCGATATTAATAATCGATCTCAATGAATTCGATGAGCTATGCTCGATTTTTGACAGTGGTTGTACGACGTAGTTTGTGTCAAAAACCAAGGTCGATCCAGAGATAGATTAAAATCGGTTAGATACCTATTAATATCGGCTATGTCTCAAAAATCGCAATCGATCAACGTAGCTGAGTGTAAAAATTCTAAATCTCCCTACTACTAGAATTTCTTCACGCAAGATATTGTCCTTGTGTTTAACGGTTTCTTACGATAAATATTTTATTGTTATTAGGTATAAAATATCTGAACATATGTTGACTATAGAACGTGTAAGTAGGAGTATTTCAGAATTTTAACATAACATAATATTTTAAATTTACTCTTGTCCATCTAGGAAGGCAAGTCCCAGGGTGTTGACAACGATTATAAGGTACCTAACAAGAAATAAGACTATTTTTAAGTTATCGAGTGGTCGCAAGAGCGCCTGCCGAGCAAGGGGTCTCGGGTTCAATTCTCGTGTCGGGCAAAGTATTACTGGGTTTTTTATAAATTTTCTGTAGTAGCACAGAGTCTGGAATTGTGCCCGATATATGGCAACAGGCTCACCCCCTATTACATGAGACTCATAAACATAAATAGTGAAAAGTGGGTTTTCCATTGTACAGTGGCATTAAATGCCGTAATGTGCACCTCTGCCTACCCCTTCGGGGATGGAGGTTATACGCCGGGGTCGTGCGGTCCATGGCCCTCTACGGCGCCCCTGTTTGGGCGCCTAACCTGTTGCGGCGTCCCGCTCGGACGCTGCTCATGGCACAGAGGGTCATGGCGATCCGAATGATCCGCGGATACCGCACGATCTCTGGGGAGTCGGCGAACCTCCTTGCCGGATTACCGCCGTGGGATCTGGAGGCGAAGGTGCTCGCGCGCGTGCACAGCATGCGCGCGGAGGCACGTCGCCGGGGCGAAACTCCGCTGCCGCGCCAGATAAGTGCGTGGCGGGATGAGCTCCGGCGCGATCTCATGGCGGAATGGCAGCAACGACTGTCGCAACCGAGGGCTGGGCTCGCTGCCATCGCAGCGGTAAGTCCCCTCTTTGAGGAGTGGCTTGAGAGACGCTACGGCGTCCTCACCTACCGCCTGACGCAGGTCCTCACCGGACATGGAAGTTTCGGGAGGTACCTGTGTCTGATGGGGCGGGAGGAAACGCCCGGGTGTCATCACTGCGAGGACCGCCCTGAGGACACGGTGGAACACACGGTGGGAGAATGCCCTTCGTGGGCTGAGCACCGCCGTGTCCTCAGGGAAGTGATCGGCGATGGCGACCTCTCGCGTCCGGGCCTAGTGCAGGCCATGATGCGGAGCGAGGGGGATTGGGATGCCGTCTCCTCCTTTTGCGAAGCAGTCATGCTAGCTAAGGAGGAGGCGGGACGCGTGAGGCAGCGAAGCGCTGCCTCCTCGCAACCCAGCCATCGCGAAGGACACACCGGGCGTCGGGGATCGCGGGACGATCTCCGGCCACCGTAAGCGCGGGCCTGCGGACGGCGAGCATGGGTGGCTCCCCGTCCGACCAGAAACAGACCCGAGCGTACGGCGCGTCGCGTTCCGCGCGCGCCTCAAAGAGCCATCAGACCACCACAGATGGGGCCCAATAGGGCCGATGCCGATTCGGAGTCGCGGAGAACCTAACGGGTAACCGGGGCTCCGGCTCGACGTGCAGGAGAAGGAACGGGGTGGTTTTTAGTCAGTAAGAGTCTGACACTCCCTCCCGCCTCACCCAGGCGGGGGCAGTCATTCGATGATTTTCCCCCCTTAAAAAAAAAAAAAAAAAAAAAAAAACCCCTTCGGGGATAAAAGGTGTGATGTTATGTTATGGTTTTTTAGGTTATCCGGTTTTAGTCTTATGTACTTCATTTGTTTTTATTTTGGTCTACTGACACATGTTACCGGTTGCGCCGTATAAAAGTAGAACACTAGGTCCTAGGTCCTAGTTCTAACCGAATACCTAATTCCAGGTAAACAAAGCGAATGTTGCATTTATTTATTAACTCGTCGAGTACCGGTTTTGTAGACACAATTATAGAACAATAGGTTGCGGTCACCGGTGACCGCTTGGTGTTTGACAGTTTAATCTTGTTTTTCTAATGGCTCTCTCTTAACGGATTTTACAAAATTTTGTCAACAATAAAATATAACAATGTCTATGCAATGAAAAAATAAGTCTTTATAAAACTCATAAAGATTGTACCCGAGTTCGAAGCATTTGGATCAAACGATCGATCTTGTCTAGAGCCGATCTTTAGGATAGGCCGGACAACTATATCTCTGATTTTTCGATTTTTATATTACCTATTTATATTATTTTGAGTTTAGTGGTCATAGGCCCATATAAGTAGGTCTATTAGGTGTTTAACAATATTCTATTGAAAAAATCCCGTTGTTTCAAAGCTACACTTTAGACTACCCTTTTGGCTACAGCACTATTCGACCTTTGAAATCACGATAGCACATCATCTTTTGTGGATTATGAACCAACCCATGCATATACAACCGCAATGTCTATATATCTGTGACTTCATATATAATTTTAAATTAATATTAAAAAAAAATAGTTTTATATATTGTTTTAATTTTCTGTTCAGATATTACAAGATCAAAAGTCACTAGAAGTGGGTACGTACATAAATCCCTATTAATGTTTCGTATTTGATGACAACATATCTGTTTAGTATTCTTTTAAAGTAAACGAATGCTAAATCTAAGTCTGCTAAAATGTCAACTGAATTTAAATCTTGATACTATTTGGATAAGCCTTAATTCTCCATTTTTTTGATATTTTTTTTATAACGTGGACTTTACGATGCTGGAAATTGTTAGGGTCTTATAATGTCTGACTAATTTCTGTTAAAGATGGACTATCTGACATATTTTTTGTACGGAAAACAACAGAAACTTAATCATAAATAGTAAAACAGATTTTTAAATCAAATAAAAGTATTTATTTCATTAAAATTTACTTAAAAATGGTCCTTTGAAAGTATTCTCGACATAAAAAGTCATAGGAAATACCGAACTCATCTAGATTTTCAAATATGACGTGTATTTATTATGGGCCCTATATTTACTTATTGAATTAAGTATCAATCACATTTGACATTTTATCTTACTTTTAATTAAAATGTAACAATTGATTGCATGGAATTTCTACCAAAAACAGTTTTTGTTTTCGGCAAGTTCGTTTACCTACATGACTAACATAATTAGGTAGGTAACTTTTATTATGTTCAAAAAGAACAAAAAACCAGTTATTTTAGAATTGTCTTAATTATTCGCATAAACACACCGAATTATAACAATGGTGCAGGAAAAATGTTATTCTTGAAGTATCCAAAATAATTTATGTTCTACGAAAATAAAAATTGTAAGATAACAAATAAAATCAACGGGAAATACCACAGATTATTACAAAAAGAAGTACTCACTAATAATTGCAAATACATATTGTGTTATCCGCGTCCCTTTCGTCCATTTTAATTTCGTTATTAAGAAATTCATTTTTTAAAAACACTGACCGACCACCGACACAAGTGAAACGCATACAGCCAAGCACGACCGTGGCTTCAAACGAACTGCCAACTGTGTGCGATCGCATTCACAACAAATCAATCGTTTATTTACAAGTTTTACAACGATACGTCTAAACTAGAATGTGATATATTTATTTTTCAATTTCGGAACGTAAAATAAAAATTGATAATAAAATATTTAAATAGTAGGTACATTTTCGCTACCAATATTTTTTTAAATACGACGTGTTTGAATCTGTGGTTTTTATGTATTTTTTTTTATTGTTATTGCAATGATAATATAAATTAGGCTTAGTTCCTTTTCAACAATTATGGGGTAAGATAAATATTGCCAATTATTACGCTTAGATAACATGCCTAATTTAATATACAAGTTTGGGTACTAGATACCTATTTATAGCGAAGCTGCTTATATTACACCTAGTTAAATGTCCCCAGTTTCGTGATGCAAAACGGCAACCTTGCTCAACTGATTATGATTTCAAGTTTTATTGATGTTTATGTAAATAGGTTTATTCAATATTATAATGCTAATTTAGGTAGAATAAGTATGGGAATCTCTTTTTTTCCATCCTTGAGACTTTGTTGGAAATTAAATCAAGTTGTCACGTGTTTCGAATGCGCAACTAAATTAATTTGTATATAAAATTAACATTTTGTATAGCAATATTGTTGTTCTTTCTTAACTCGACGTCAGTGTGTCTGACGGTCCGTTATTGCGCTAATAACTCGAGAACCACTTATCCGAATTACGTGATTTTTTTTCTAATTCCTAATAATGTAGGCACAGGTGTTACTGGAGCTAAGATTAACTGAAATAGATTGGTATTTATTTAATTTGGTAGATTGCAAGTACTTCGAATGTTGGTCATCGAATTTGGTCCAGCCGTTTAAACTGTCAAACAACAAGCGGTCACCGGTGACCGCAACCTATTGTTCTATAATTGTGTCTACAAAACCGGTACTCGACGAGTTAAACTGTCAAACACCAAGCGGTCACCACCAAGCGGTCACCACCAAGCGGTCACCACCAAGCGGTCACCACCAAGCGGTCACCACCAAGCGGTCACCACCAAGCGGTCACCGGTGACCGCAACCTATTGTTCTATAATTGTGTCTACAAAACCGGTACTCGACGAGTTAAGAGTTCAATGCTAAACACGTGGAAAAATTACAGAAGTAAAGCACATCACGCTATCTTAAACTGTTAATTTTCTTCAATTGATTTTCTATTTTATTGAAGAACAATAAAGTCGAATAACTGTTTGATGTGTGCAGCTGCATATGTCACGAATCTTTATCTATTTTTGTACGTGTGTCACGACAGAACTTCTAAATGGCTGCACCTAAATTGATGTTTTGTGCTAGTTAAAATCATTTCCTAGACAGTTTGTACCTATTTAGGTATCACTCGATCCTAATCCTATGGGGGACGCTGAATGCGGGCAGAGTGACTTCAGTTTCTAATCGTATTGTGATGATATTTTTAAATGATATTTAAAGCACACGGCCATTCAATATGGGCAAACGTCGACCAATCAAATATCTACTAATAAAAAAATATATATATAGGCATAGGTACCTATGGTCCGAAGATCTTTGAGAAGGTACTCAAAGGTAACCTGTCAAGTACCTACCTGAGTAACGTCTTCAGTGTTTTCTATTTATCGTCATCGTTAATAAATAAATTAGTACCTAGGTACTTAGGTACTTCTACAGGCTGGTTATCACCCTTTGCTCGATATGGAGTAAAATATATTGAAATTACTTGAGAACACAAAAGTGGATTTTCAACAGTCCTTCATAATCCACTGCTGAAGTATAAGGCTCCTTACTATAAACTGGCTACAAGTTTACCATAATCTATAAGCTTGGTATGGTAAAATTCTTTTTTTAAGGGGTATAATCATCAATTGACTTCATCTGCCTTGGGTGTGGCGAGAGAGAGAGTGTCAGACTCTTACTGACTAAAAACCGTTTCTCCTCTATGAGTCGGAGCCCCGGCAACCCGTTAAGTCCTTTGCGGCTAAGCTTGGTAGGGAGCAAGCAGGCGGAAGCGGAGCCTATCTAACCAGAGGGTTGTAGTTCTTTGTTTGTTAGTAGGGGTTCTTTGTTGTAGGTCTTTGTCAAATGTCTCTGAACCAGTTCTAGCGGTACCTCCGCAAGAATAAGGGTGGTGACAAATACCTGAGCAAAAGAACGGATCCTCGATTAAATATACTTTTAATGCTACTAAAATTCTTCATATGTCTCGTATGAGTCACCGTGTAATCGAATGATTAGGCAAGCTACTTCGCATACCTACATACTTATTATTGTGTTCTACCAAACCGATTAGCTATAGATATAAATTTAATTAAAATACTTTCGTTTTAACTAGAAATTAGTAACTGTGAATGAAATTAGCCGAATGAAATTGGAACAAGTAGGCATCGTGTATTTAATAAGTTGATAACATTGGAATGTTACCTACCTAATTATATTGTTTACAAAAAGCTGTTAATCTTACCTTCGGTTTGCAGAAGGAAGCTCAGAATGCAAAAGGACCCCTTTTGTCAACAGCCCTGTTCAGCCACTGCGCCGACTTTACCTATAGTCAGTTTTCCGATTTCCAATCCAACTATCGTCCAATCCCGGAGGATTGGGCCTCTCGGGTGACCACAATCATACGGCGAAACACAACATAAGCTTTGTTCCACGGCAGTTTTCAGTGAAGCCGAAGCATGACAAGCAAGCACTACGATCGAGCCGGCCCATTTATGCCGAAGCATGACTCTCCTATGCTTCAAGTAAATTAGATTTTCTTGGTGACATGGATAGATATTACATAGGTATTCTGTAAACGAGTGTTGTATGCATAGAATTCCGTCATTATAACTTTAATAATAATTCCTTACGTATCAAAAAAATTGTCACAATAATTGTTCCAAAAAAAATTCTCACGTGCACCGTGACTACACTTTGTGGTGAATCGAGACGCCTCAATTATAAAGTTGTGTGACCTCATGTAGATATCGTGACATATCCAGTTAAAACTGGTAAATATAGCTACGTTTATTCAGTGGTTATTAATGTGACTACAGACTGTCAGATCCTGCGTATAATACCAGTGTAACAGTCGAGGTTCTTTTATCCTAAGTGTGTTACTGGGGTCACATTAATAGTGCCTGAAAGTCCATGTTAGAATTATCCATAATTTACACGTTTGGCAGCTAGCTCAGGCTTCTAAATTAACGATTACGAAAAATCCACGTAATTTGTTCATATAAAAGTAAAATAATCTCTAGATACATTTTATTATGTCATAAGTCTATATAAAAGAGCAGATGGATCACCTGATGGTAAGCAATCGGTATCGCCCATGGACACCAGGAACACCAGAGGTGTTAGTGTGTTATGTGTGCGTTACCAGCCTTTTGGGGATTACGAGTTTGAGGATCGTTGGGGATTCAGGCATTGGGGAATTGGGAGGGGGAGGGCCTCCGGTAACGACACTCACACGACGAAACACAACTCAAGCGTTGTTTCATGTCGTTTTCTATGAGGCCGTGGTATCACTCGAGCCGGCCCATTCGTGCCGAAGCATGGCTCTCCCACACTTCCCACGTCTACAATAAAGTGAATGGACAGAGTTCAGCAGTGACTGCTGGGCGATTTGTAGACTGGTGAAGGCTGCTTCAGTTGAAATTGATACTTCTGTTTAAAAAACCAAGTTCTTCCACTTTCTGTTTAAATGTAACCAAGAATTGTAGTGTGAACCTGATTAAAAAAAGAGTAGGTAACTTACGGACTTTCTTGCTCGTTCTTCTCCATAGGAATCTACACTTTGGAACGAGCAAATAGCTTCACTAGAGGACAAACCGACAGGTGGACATTTTTTTTACACATAACTTAACATCACGCTTTTTACTCTCGAAGGGGAAGGCAGAGATGCACATTATGCCACTTTTTTTTTTTATGGAATATATAAGCCGGTAAACGAGCAGACGGATCACCTGATGGTAAGCAATCGGCGTCGCCCATGGACACCTAGAACACCAGAGGCGTTACAAGTGCGTCACCGGCTTTTTGGGGATTAGGAGTTTGAGGATCGTTGGGGATTCAGGGATTGGGGAGATTGGGGAAGGGGAAGGTAATTGGGCCTCCGGTAACCTCACTCACACGACGAAACACAACGCAAGCGTTGCTTCACGTCGGTTTTCTGTGAGGCCGTGGTATCACTCCGGTCGAGCCGGCCCATTCGTGCCGAAGCATGGCTCTCCCACACTTAAAATTTATCACTATTTATGTTATGAGTCCCATGTAATAGGGGGTGAGCCTATTGCCATATTTTTTTTTTAATAGTTCAATATTTTGTAGATGCTCAAAAGGGCCTTCCTAGTCTAATTGAATAAGTGAATTTGACTTTGACTTAAAAATGTGAACAATTTTTGTAATGAGTAATGAATGTTTCAGAGTTCATTCACCTTATTAAAGGCTAAAACATGCTAAAAATGTCAGCCTATACCTTCTCGGAGTCGCGGAGAACCTAACGGGTAACCGGGGCTCCGGCTCGACGTGCAGGAGAAGGAACGGGGTGGTTTTTAGTCAGTAAGAGTCTGACACTCCCTCCCGCCTCACCCAGGCGGGAGCAGTCATTCGATGATTTTCCCCCTTAAAAAAAAAAAAATACCTTCGAAACGTGTCGCGGAGAACCTAACGGGTTACCGGGGATCCGGCTCGACGTGCAGAAGGAACGGGGTGGTTTTTAGTCAGTAAGAGTCTGACACTCCCTCCCGCCTCACCCAGGCGGGAGCAGTCATTCGATGATTTTCGCCTCTTGACTCGTCGAGTACCGGTTTTGTAGACACAATTATAGAACAATAGGTTGCGGTCACCGGTGACCGCTTGGTGTTTGACAGTTTAAAAAAATACCTTCGAAACGTGAACTACGTAATATTTCTGGAAAAAGAACAACAAAAGAATACAAAACAAAGCCTGCACTTGTATGTAGGTACATACGTCAGTGGCTTGATTGGCTGTAGAAAATTAATTTTCAAACAATCACAATGCATTTGACAGTTTCAAAAGTCAACTTCGATTTAGT